AAAAACGGAAACGCGGTTTTGGATAAGCTGGCGAAACGCCCGAACCAACCGTTACGCCGGCGTTTTGAAAACGTCATATGTACTTATAAGCTGCCTCAAACGGACCCTAATTTTAATTATTTGCTCAAGAATGTGAAATTTTTTTGTTAAAATGTGATATAATCTTGAGATGAACTTTCACTACTCTAGAGGTCGATGATGCTCTTTTCATAAAAAGATAATGTTATATTAGAGCATCATTATAAAATTGATATTTTCATAATCACTTTAGACACGTAACAGCAAGAGATGCATAACAAATTTTAAAAAAATATTATAAAAAGATAAAGTATCAGTTCTTCATTAGATCATTGAGATGTATATTTATTAAGTTGCAAATAAATTCAATCATAAAGATTTCATAAACATAGAGAAGCTACACTTAAAAATTCAATTAGAACATTTTAAAATTTAAGCTCATCAGCCTAAAATTTGTTAGATTATCTCAAAAAACTTCTAATTTATGTCAAATGCTGACAACCACAAAAAAATCAGTCATACATTTTGTTATGGATAGTTTGATTAGATTGATTTTGACTCTGTTTATTTTGATATTAACAACTGAAAGCGTATTTTCAACTATGAAGATTGTCAAGATCATAATAAGAAACAAAATGAAAGAAAATTTTTATAAGAGCTGAGTGAAAATATATTGAAAGTGATGTTAGATTGAGTTTAGAAAAACAATAAATGATTAATGATTTCAATCTCATGAAGAGGAAATTATTGCGTGCGGACACCGCATGCATCTCTGCATGTGGTGTCCGATCCTGGCCGTAGATCACGGTGATCTAGATCTACGGTCAGTTTATTTTCATTTTTTTTAAAAAAAATTTAAGTGGGGCCCACCGAAATACATCGGGACCGTAGATTAGGTGATTTACGGTGTCCGATCCGTATGGAATAATTTTTCCTCATGAAGAAGCATAAAACACATTTAATTATTGTTCTCTAGATTTTAATTATAGAATTTAATTTAAGTCATTTTAAAATGTTTTAAGTATGAAGAATTTATTTTATTTTATTTTAGGATTGTGATATGCAATTAGTGTTCGTAATTGAGGAATGATAAAAAATGTTATTTAATTGTGCTTCTTCGTTCAAATATTTAAAAATGGATAGTCATGTCAGCCACAGTCACTATTAAGAGGAAAATATGTCTAGCCCAATGGGAGCCCAACCCTGTCCACTACAGTTCAATTAAGAAAAATAATCAGGCTAAAGTGTGAGACTTACAACCTTACATTATTGAAAAGACGGCCAATTTGATAATGTGAAGAATGATAATATTTATCAATTTGATATTTAAAAATAAGAATTTGGTAAAGATCTGAAATACTTGCACATTCCCTGAGAAAAATCGTATTTTTAGTATTGACATGCAGTTAACCGGCACAACAAGACACGGAAGATTAAGAAACTTGGGGCAATCCTGTCCCAAGTTTAGGAAGAAAATATGACTTTTTAAAACAAGGGGAAACTTGGTTCAGCCACAGTCACTATTAAGAAGAAAATATGTCTAGCCCAATGGGAGCTCAATCCTGTCCACTACAGTTCAATTAAGAAAAATAATCAGACTAAAGTGTGAGACTTACAACCTTACATTGTTGGAACATTGTTGGAAAGACGGCCAATTTGATAATGTGAAGAATGATAATATTTATCAATTTGATATTTAAAAATAAGAATTTGGTAAAGATCTGAAATACTTGCACATTCCCTGAGAAAAATCGTATTTTTAGTATTGACATGCAGTTAACCGGCACAACAAGACACGGAAGATTAAGAAACTTGGGGCAATCCTGTCCCAAGTTTAGGAAGAAAATATGACTTTTTAAAACAAGGGGAAACTTGGTTCAGCCACAGTCACTATTAAGAAGAAAATATGTCTAGCCCAATGGGAGCTCAATCCTGTCCACTACAGTTCAATTAAGAAAAATAATCAGACTAAAGTGTGAGACTTACAACCTTACATTATTGAAAAGACGGCCAATTTGATAATGTGAAGAATGATAATATTTATCAATTTGATATTTAAAAATAAGAATTCGGTAAAGATCTGAAATACTTGCACATTCCCTGAGAAAAATCGTATTTCTAGTATTGACATGCAGTTAACCGGCACAACAAGACACGGAAGATTAAGAAACTTGGGGCAAGTGATAGAGCAAATGTAGGCATTTAAAGCTTATGATTTTAAACTAAATTTTTGAAAAATTTTGTTGCTATTTGAACAAATGTGTTACCATTGAAAATGTGTGAAAATATTTCATTGAAGTCTTTTAGTTTCGCTTTCTGTCTACCAGTACAAAGAGGCTGTTGATTCGGTGGTGAGAAATGATAAACAAAATATTGATTTTGCATTCAAAAACATGAATTTGATTTCTTGCATTTAACCTCCAACTTATCAAAATTTGGGTTCCCATTGAAGCTTTGTTAAGCTTGCAAGCTAGGGATTAATCTCATTAAAAGTTTATTATATATTTTATTCCAATTGAAGAATAGACTTATGAATTAACCATTTCAATTTGGCTCCTTAATCATTTTATTGGTGTAAAAGTTTCACCATGCCATGAAAAACATGCAATACTTGATTAAGAAATTAGAGCTAGAGAAAAACCTCGTGTACTTCTGAGAGATTAACCTTCGACTGGTAGAAATACACAGATTTTTAGGCCACACTTTTTTCTCTTTTCTTTCTCTCTCTTCCTTTATCGGGTAGGATTGGGTTGCCTACTGTGGAGCGGTGTGTCGGGGAGAGCAGGTCGGCGACAGGGAGAAGTGTAGCTTCCGACAGGAGTACGTGGATTTGGTTGGCTATTACGTAGGAGTTTGTTGGCTTGGAATAAGCCGAAGAACCTAGGATTTAGGGTTTTGAAGAAGCGTCATGTTTCCATTCATGGGTGGAAGTAGAAAAATTATTCGGACAATAGGAGAGAGTCTTGTTCCTTTGACTCAAGTGATATCAAGGTTTTTCAGAGACGCATAATTCATGGATTGCTAACCAGGAATCTCAGGACGTGTTGTGTCTGCTGCCTTCACGACCAAATAGACCTAGGGTTTATAGCTCAGAATGAGGGTCTGTGGTACCCAACCTGGCTACCTCTACCGAAAACGGAGAGAAAGCGTGCAAATACTTAAGAGAAAGAGAAACTCTCGGTTTTGAGAATAGAGAGCCATTGGGGGTTGAGAGACGTACGCATATATGAGAGCCTCGTGATAGGAAATATTATTAGAAATAAATGAATCGTATGTAGGGATTATGAGTATATTTAGGATGTATTTTTGAATTTATTTAGATAAATACATATAAAATACATCCTAAATACACCCACATCTGCACCTAGCCGTCAGAGTGTGAGAGCGGAATGAGGTTATGCTTTTAGGAAGCGAGATATTGCATGGATATATATATATGTATATATATAGCTATTGAAGAGAGGGAGAGAGATGAGGAAAAATAATATTTATGGAAAGGAATGGTGGCCTGATATTTGAATGTAGGATTTCCTTCCTTTTTCATGAGGGGGGATGAATGTGGGGGCCCTTTTTTTATTCGGTTTAGCAAGGATTAATAGCGTGATAGGCAGAATAATGGAGGGCTTTTATGCAAAAGTTACATCTTCTTTTTGTGGTAATATTTAATGTGGTGATGCAGTCTTATTTCAATGAGAACCTGTCATGTATATAGTCATGCCCTTTTGGTAAAAAAAGTTAATTTAATACATTTTGTATCAGGATTTCAATAAGAACCTGTCATGTATATATACATGCCCTTTTGGTAAAAAAAGTTAATTTAATACATGTGGGCCCTGCTTGTACACGTGTCATGTCCTTATTGGAGCCCTGATGCAAAATTGTATCAGGACTCCTGATTTAATTAGGTTGGGACCGTGGAAAGATGCGAGAGATATGAAATGAGGGGGCTTTTTGTAAAAATTCATTTGTTTTTGTGCTTCCATTATATTCCCCTTCCATGTAATGAATATGACATGAACCATTATACATACATGTATATGCTTTTATATATATATATACAGTTCA